TGTATTGTGATGGTTGATTGCCACATGTATTGGATGGATTGCCTTTCTATATTGGCCAGATAGGCACTTCCTCTCAGGAATGTCTGTACACGATTTGTCTTTCGTTTGTTAACATTTAGCTATCGATTAGTTGTAACAAATAAATATATGTGTAATTCTCTAGTGCCACTAAAAACAAATTAACTTCTTCTCCATTTTTCACAAGCACTTTCGCTTAACCTTCTCATCGAATCTGTTCAGTTGAAATCTCAATGCCTGCCCATTAAATCTGATTCACTCAAAAAAAATCCTGAGTTTCCGTCAGCAGTTTGCAAAAGCTCACTTATTCCTTGTTTGGGCTCATGTTACTTCCAGAGCGTGATGGCGCAGAGCATTCAAAACAAGCAAAACTATGTCAGCATTCAGTCTCCTTTCTGACATACATGTATTTTAGAGAACCCTCACAATTCTGCTTCGCTCTCCCCTCCCCACCACTAATTTTGGAGGCACGATCGTTTGCTGCTGCGGTGTAATGCATGGCGCATCCCAGAAGGGATAAGGTTTGGGAGTGCTTATCTTTTTTGTTCATTATCTGTTTCACCGTGAATGGTACGGAGTGAACATACATGTCAATACCTGTTAGGGTTTGATCAAATTCCACCTTCGTATTCGCGCCCGAAACGATTTGCTTACTTCATTAAATGCTGGAATCTGTTTCTTTTGGACTGCTCTTATCCTCCCATTTCCTATTTTCTCAGTGAGGCATGGGCTAGGTCGAAATGAATGCCCCACGAAGGAATAATCAATAGAAAAGCTGAGTACATAGTCTGTGGGAGCTCATACGAGCAACAAAATTTGATAAGTGCTCTGGTCTGGGTGTTCCACGTCAGCGTAGCGTGTGCTTTGATAGCCCCGAGCGCACGTGCGGCATCGAACAAAAGACTTTTGCTTATGGAACTTTATACCCATAAGAGTTCGAAATCCATTGTAATCTATTCTGTTTTCATCCGCTGGTTCGTAAAGTTGAAATTTCAAAATTTGTTTCTTTCAGCGCTCCCTCTTGATGTGAGGATTTTTGATTTTATTCTGAATATCTTCACCTTGAGGAATATGGCAAAATGTCTCACGTTTTTGTTGGGATTCATGGCGGCCACTAACATATGGGACATCATTGTGTATGTCTTACATTTATTATTCAAACATGTTCGTAATGTATAACTTACTTCTTAATATTGATTTTTAGTGAAGTATATTCTCGTCCCACGATATTGAAACCGAAAGGACCTCGCCCATTTTTCTCGAACCATACCAGTAATTATTTAACTGATTTTTACACTGGCAAATTCCATCCGGATAGGTTTGTGCTGCATATTTTTATTAATTCGTGTGATTTATCCTCTGAAGTTCTTTTGTTCTTCTTATGTCTTCTTCTTTATGTCAGACTTTGCGAAGCGCTCGACTGACATCGGCCTAAAGAGTGGATTTTTTTCAGGGTAGTTGGACATACTGATCTTGTTGTTGCAATGTATTATGCTCCGTGGAGTTTTCATTCTCGACAACTGAAACATCCATTTGAAGTTGTAGCATTAGTGTTACGAAATCACAGAAATGTAAGTCGTTCTGTTGATTGTGTTGATTCTTCATGTGAACATTTCTTGAAATATTCCTTAGCCCCGTTCTCAATCGGCGATTCGCGATCCTTATCTATAATCTGAAATTTTATGGCTGTCACTAAGGTATCTTCTAGATTCGGTTTGTAGCGGTTAACTGTTGGGCAACTACAGGAGAATGCCGGAATATGTATAAAATTTATCAGTTCCCATTGATCGTCGCCTATTCTTCTACGGTTCATACTGTTTATCAAGGAGAGCATTCAGTGGATCACATATACAGGTTTGTTCCTCCATTTTTTTTTTTTCACCTGTCGTATAACTTTTGTTACCTGTCTTGTCCGTTGGCTTCTCAGGATTCATTTATTAAATTTGCATTTAATGCGTAATTAATCCTTTCCATTTTTTTTCTTCTTGGCGATGGCGCTCTTTTGCGAACGTTTTCGCCTCATATAAATGGACGCGTCCATGACCACAAACCGTGCCTTTTCGCGAGCAGGTTTATTAGTAGCGAAGCAAGCATTGAATGCCTCCTCTCAATGGTTCCATCTGCCGTAGCTACTCAATTCCGGTACTGGCTCCTATAGCTATGGCTATATGGCTATGGCACTCATATAAGGCTGCTACTTCGCGCTTCATTAATGAGTCCTGCGAGAATAGTGATGTCTGCTTTTGATATGCACCCACTTGGCATCATCCGTAGGCGTCCACCAAAAGCAAATTTGTCCAGCGGGGATTCGAGCCTGTTACCCAGTGCCATTGCCTTCCTTTTGGTACAGGTGTCAAACCGTGAACCGATGTGAACCGGGTTTGTGTCCTCTACCCGTACCCGGCGTCACTACAATGTGCAAAGATGTTCTTGAAAAAGCTTGGCTTGTCTTAAAAGACCCCCTCCTTTGTTGGAGACGATTTACAAGTAAACGTGACTTATCCAGAATTTTGAAGAGAAACCAGGGAGATAAAGAAAGCCGAGCAATGCACGATTGCTGATTTGTTGCTGTTAACGCACAGTTGTGTTGTGATTAGTGTTCAACTCGAACTTCTTTAGAGTGCTTCCATAGTTTTAACTTCGTAATAGATTAAGCCTCGATCATCTTCAATGAAAACATTATTGTTTTACTGATCCGCCTTGCTATGCAATTCAAATCGTAATATTTTTTCTCTGCTTTTATCTTTTGTTTCCTTTTGCCTAGAACTTTCTTTTGAATCATCTCTAGTCATTTCAGATGGATAGTCAATGTGAGAAACCCCTTACATGTCATTCGTTCGTTGGAACAGCTAGAGGAAATGAAGAGAGAGTTCCACACAATGGTGGTTGGATACTTTCCTTTCAAGGTTAGCTCAATACCTAGTGATATTCTTCTCTTCTTCGCGTGCGTATTCTCTGTTACCTTATGTAGCTCTGCAGAATATGAACACTCCATCCGGGTACCGTGCTTTTGCAGCTGCTGGAATGATGCTACAAACTGGTACACAAGGTAACAGTATTATTTATCAGTGTTGTGTAGTAAATCATTAATTAATGTCTTCTAGAGGACCAGTTTACATGTCTCGCTGTTTTAACGAGTGAACGAATGGCTCGTGAGATAGGCATGCGTTTCGAGGGCGATCTGATCATGTACAGCCTTGAGGGTGATTTTTTCTCTGCATTTTTTTTGATTCCTTCCATGCTATTTGTGGTTGCGCAGGCACTAAAGCCATTTTTCTTCAATGCTAGTTCGCTAATGCTAAGGAATCATTCTAGTTGTTAAGATTATGAGTTTCAATGGTCGTACGGAACTCAGGCTACTGCTTCGAATATAGTGGACTGGGTTCGACATAAGCAGGCTGAAGTTTCTCCAATCAAATGGCTTCATTTCAGTAAGCTGTTGCTACCGTCTTTTTTTCCTGAAATTTTGTATGATTTCTGCAAGTGACGCCGTATTAAAACGTTGTTTTCAAACTGATAAATTGCATGTTTTGTTTTCATGTTATTTAAGAGATTTCTCTTGCATTTTGTCTTCGTTACAGATCGAGATTTCATAAGAGTACGTTACAGACAAAAATACGGAGCTTATGACGGAACAGTTTGCTCGGATACTGAATAAGTCGTCTATGTTGCTATTAGTCACCTTCTTAACTCCTGTTTATAGTGGTCAAAGTGACATATCACTTTTCACAGAGGTGCTGAGAGTACAATATTTCGTTTTAATTGATTTTTTCGCGTGTTGTTTTCTTTTTTTTACATGCATCTC